TTCCCCACCATTATGTGAAATTCTTAAAAACTTTTTTTATCTCAAAAGTATTCATAGAATTCATTCGTTTACTTACAGAGGCCATTGTCAAATTAATTAAATGTCTTTTATGGAAAGATTTTTTTTATTTATTGAAAATATATCTAAATTTTTTGCTATTTAGATCAAATTTAAAAGATTTTCTCTCCTAAAAATTTATTAAAGAATCATCCATTTATGATTATTAAGAATTTCATTTTCAGATTTTATTTAATTTTTTATTATAGAAGTTTTATTATTTCTAATCAATTTTTTTTACTTTTTACTTTATTAAAAAATATATAAATTTTCACCATGTGACCCAAATTTAAAAATATTTTCTCACTTAAAAATTTCTTTAAAAAAACCAACCATTTATGATTATTAAAAATTTTATCTGTTTGATTTTATTTAATTTATTCTATAAAGTTATTTTTTTTAACTTGAAAATAAATTTCAATTTTTAATATCACAATTTAATTTAAATTTTTTCGCAGGTTAAATTTATAAAAGTTCCTCTCTTAAAAATTTCTTAACAAATCAAACCTTTGTGATTTTTAAGAATTTATCATTTGATAATTGTCATTCATTTTCAAAATTTCCTAAAGTTTTTAATTTAATTTAAAATATTTCACTACTTAAGTTAAATTTAGATAATTTCTCACCTAAATTTTTTTAAAAATTTTAACTATTTGTAATTTTTAAGAATTTATCATTGGATAATCGTCGTTCATTTTCAAAGTTCCTAAAGTTTTTTTTATTATTGTTTTTGTTATTTTTATTATAAGCTGAAAACGAATTCCAAGACACAATAATAAAGGTGTTCAAAGAAAAGGCTATATGAAGGAAACAAGATTCTTCTCAAAACTTTTGGAGAAAGAAGCCTTAAAGCTGTTTAGAAGATCAAATAACATATTATAAATCATATAATTTATAAAAACCGAAAGCATAAGAAAACGTTTCTTGACCGATTGCACGATGAGAATATCCAAACCAACCTTTGCAAGCAAAGCATATAACAAACCCTGTTTGCTTGTCATTGCCTATGACCAACCGTAGTAATTCTTCCTTTCCCTAGGCTTTATCAACTATTACCATCAAATCATTGCTTAAAAGTTAGGCTTGGTTCAGGAGAGTCATCTGAAACCAAGGAAAATTTGATGAAGCTGATGAGATAATTCTATTTTCTTTTAGATAGAGGAAATTGGAATTTCATATATTAAACAGCAAGCAGATAACATAGGTAATTCTATTATCTCAGGCAACATTATAAAGTGCATTGGCATTTTTCACCTTTACTTTTTTTGTCTAAATGCTAATTTTAAGATCTAATGGTGGCCAAATTTATTAAGCAAATGCCCATTTTATTTATTAGTAAATTATCATTAATATTGGTTTGTAAAAAAAAAAAAAATTGTTCTATTTATTTCTATGGAAATCAAATATTTTTATTACTTTTTCTCTTTTCCATTGGAAAGTAGAATACAAATAATGTACATGCAACAGCTTTCAACACTGTTTAATAAGACCAATAGCTAATTGAATTCCCCTATGCCTTTTGTTTCAGACATAGGAATACAGGCATTAAAGCACTAATGTGTATAGAACTGAATCCACAATGAAACATAAAATAAGAAAAAAAATTAGCTGTGTAGATAAACTTTGAGCAAAAGAAGATTAAAAATATATATGTTTTTAGGCACCTTTCTTTTTACTGTGTATAAGATGTTGATGTCCTTAGGAATCTTCTGTTGTGTAATCATCTTTTCAGCGTATATTGTGTAATGTTTTCTGTTGTTGATTCGGTTGGTTGGTTGGTTGTGTCTGGTGTTGGAAATTGCTTAGGGGAGGCAGGGTGGAGGTTGGCGGTATGAGTGGAAGTAGGCTTAAAACAGTCTGATGGTACTGGTCTTTGGGACTATGTTTCCTGGTCTTTGGGATTGTGTTTTACTGTTGCTGGGTTGTAACGGTGGTGGTGGTGGTGGTGGTTAGGTTCTGGAGGGGGTTTTAAGCAAGTGGTTAAATCACTAACTTTTAAAGTAATGACGTCACCAAACTTCAATCTAGAAGCATATCTCTTTGATGTTGTTTGATCTTGGTTAAATTTATAGCTTTAGTTATGTTTTTGTTAATATATTTTAGTCAAATCGTCGATTCTATATTTGTATTTTTTTAAGGTTTTAAAAGTTTTTGAAAATATAAATTCAGAAACTTTAAAAAATTTCTAAAATTGTAAATCTGCAGCTTTTAGACGTGCGAACCCAAAAACTTTAATTTTGGAAAGTATAAATTTTTAATTGAAAATCGACGTTTATATGACTTATGTCATTGTTTATTTAGCATTCTTCATCTCAAAATTTTTTCAAATTTTAATTTTTTATTTTTACAATGTACAAGATAAAAAATGTATTTTTAAAGATTTAAGGTTTGTGATTGAAACGCCTGGGGAAGAAAGGAAAAAAAAAAAAAAAGAAAAGAGAAAGAGAAAGAAGAGTAGAAAATGGTGTATGAAGGGCTAGAAGGTAAATTAATAAGGTATTTAAATAATTTTATTTAAGGTCAATTGTGTAATAAAAAATTTGAGTGTGAAAAAAATTTATTGGAGTTTATTTAAAAGCACTCCTAAAAATATCTCTTTTTAATGAAATGAATATTTTGCCCTTAAAATCTTAGGTATCCACATCAAATACCAAAATAATAAAAAATCAACTTACATGATGGATAGATTTTAGCAACAACACATATAAAATAATACAAAAAAAAAAAAAAAAAACGAAGATGATACGATTTAGAATTTTAATATATTAATTCATCTGTGGTAGCTTTTCTGTTTGGGTCATATTAATTCATCTGTTGTAGGCTTACTTTTGAAAGTTTGGCATTTCTATTTGCACTAATAATTAACCTGGTTTGGTGCACTTCGCAGAAGAACGTGATGGCAGACGACCCTGTTTTGATTAACATAACTGAAATGATAGCAAAATTATCCCCAATACAACATGAAAGTTGCATTTGCAAAGTACCTAATTATCTTCGCATGGTAGATGAGAAGGCCTATGAACCACAGCAACTTGCAATCGGTCCTTACCACCGCGATAAGGTTCACTTAAAAGCAATGGAAGAGCATAAGTTTCGGTATCTTCAAAAGCTACTTGAAGAAAGAAGGGAGATCAATAATGTCTCAAAATATGTTAAGGCAATGAGAGAATTAGAGACAAGAGCTCGCAATTGGTATACAGACCCTATAAATCTTGAATCAGATGATTTCATCAAATTGATGCTCCTTGATGGTTGCTTTATTGTTCAGCTAATTCGGATGTATTTTGACGTTTCATTGAGGGTGGACAATGACCCCATTTTTAAGGTGGCAGGTTTGCGTTACTTCTTAGCTGTGATTTGATATTACTTGAAAATCAAATTCCCTTTTTTGTTGTATTGGAGTTACTTGGGATGATTGGGATTTCCGATGAGGAAGGTTTCACTAGAATGATTGGGGAATTCTTGCAGCCAGAATTACCAGATCCAAGGTTTTTTGAAGATGGTGTAAAGTCGATCGGTGAAATCAGACATCTACTGGACTTGATACATGAATACTGCCGTCCTTCACCTACAGAAATTAACGCGTATCGAAGTATGGAAGGAAAGGAAACCGTGATCACACGTTGTGCCACGGAACTCAAAGAGGCTGGAATCAAGTTCAAAAAGGTGGAGGGAAAGAGCTTGTTTGATATTAAGTTTGAAAAAGGGACTCTGAAAATCCCAACCTTGGTAATTGAAGACAACACAAACTGTTTGCTTCGAAATCTCATTGCCTTGGAGCAGTTTTCCCCGTGCGGAGATATAACTCATATCACGGATTATGCCGTATTCATGGACTGTCTTATTAACTCTGCAAAGATGTGGAAATACTCACACACTGTGGAATTGTTGACAACTTTAGGTGATGAAGCAGCTGCCACCTGTTTAATAGGCTTGCTACTCAGTAACTACTCCAAAAATACTACTACCGTGAAGTATCTGACAAAGTGAACGCATATTGCGGAAGACGCTGGAACAAATGGCTGCCAACTTGAATCACAACTATTTCAACAGTCCTTGGGCACTTATTTCCGTTCTTGCTGCTGCAGTCATCCTTCTACTTACCCTCATGCAAGCCATATTTTCTGGAATTGCTCTTAAAAGTAAGAAATATACTCTCTTTTATTATGTATTATATATATTTTATGTAAATTATGGAAAATACCTTTTAAAATACAATTATTTGCTGTGAGTGATGTGAACTTATTATTATAAGTTAGAACCGCTTATCGTTTCTGTAATATTAGTCTAAGAGTGATTCGAAAGTAATTGATTATTGCTTGCTGCTTTTTCCTAGGACTTGATCTTGCTATTTTGTTTTACTTTATTTTTTATTTTTTTCTTTGAAAAGTAATAAAGGAATTCAGGGTACCTTATAACCGTTCTTTTATCTAAATTTTCTATTAGTTGCTCTTTAAAAGTAATAAAGGAAAGTTTTCTGGTGAAAAAGAGAATGTGATAGGAAACAGGCGACGAATCTGCCGAAGATAACTAGTAGATAGAAGGAAGAAGAAATAATGGTAGTTGATTTTGTTGACGGTTTTGTACATTGTGATTCGTCAAAGCTGGCTAGATGGCCGCGGTTTTTTTTTTTTTTTTCTCTAGAAAGTTTTCAATGCTTTCTGCTCTTTCCATGATCTTTTCTGTAAATATCGATTCGAAATGTTAAATGTGAAAATATTCTTCTTAGTCTGTCGTTCAAAAAAAAAAAAAAAAACTTTGAAAAGATTTTTTTTCCTGCAAAAACTTTACCAAACATGTTGTCTTTAAGCTATCCCAAAAAATATTGACATTCTGAGCTGCTTAATGCTTGACCTTGTAGCTATTAAACTTGGCTTAGCCTATTTCCATTTGAGTTGAATAAAAAGAATGTGTAGCAACAGGATCAGTAATCTTAAAACACATTGAAAAGAGAATGAGTGGCAGGGTATGAACTATGTGACAGAAGCTAGGCAGAGAAATATCAATTAAGCCACCATAATTCAGACCAACGCAGATATTATAAAATAAATAAATTTGAGTTCCCAACATGGTATTCCAAACCATATGCATTCACAATCCACGGTCAATCACAAACCAGTTCCAAATTCATTTTATCTCCCACTTTTTCATAAGGGTCCCATACACATGGAAGTTCCAATGTTTGAAGCACAAAAACACAGAAACCAAAGAGACATCAAGTACACAAATTGATTACAGAAAATGGGGCATAACCTTGCTCTAAAAGAACGCTTTGCCAATGACATATAATAATGACGCAACTGTTATCCTGCATCTACCTATATGAATCTGGTCGCTTCGGCTTGCTTTGAACAACAGCCTCAATCTTCTCCATAATTGCAGGAGTCAGTAATGGGATTACATCGAGTGCTTTCATGTTCTCTTGAATCTGAATAGGGAGAAGAAAAGTTTACTGTTTAGTTGCATGTAAATGTATTAAAAGTAGCAGCGGCACCCATTAAAAGCCAAGTAAAAGTTAAGAACCAAATGCACTTGAATCTCAATGATAATTAAAAAAAAAAAATTATGGTTTAGTTTTATTATAATTACTAACAGTAAATAAACACTTATAATATCCAGTCAAACACCAAGAACATGAAATTAGAATCCCACATAAATTAGGAGACGAAAGTGTGCTGATCTGCATTATTCGAGTGTGTTGTAGAACCAGCAAAAATACTTCCAAAGTTTTTGCAAAATGATATTCTGGAAGCTCATTACAGTTGCATACAAATGATAGACCACTAAATATACTATATGTTCCTTTAGAATTAAAAATGATAATTTATCCACTATTTAGCTAATTGATCATTTTATAGATTAGCAGATATTAATCAGCTATACATGCTTGCAAATTCTATTAGGTGATATGTATCTTTAAATCCCAGAAACAATGCCATGCAGAAATTATTAGGCTGTATTTTTATTTTCTCGAGTTAAATTAACCTCTTAGTCTTCAATGTCTTCCATACTAACAACAGTCAACTATGTAAACTTCTTTAATAATTAACAATGTCATAATTGATTTCTGTGTTGCACTCTTTGCCTTTCCAAGGACATTAGACTCCGACCTTAACCTTCTGCTTCACCTTAGATACTCCATAAGATTTCTCTTTGCAACTCTTCATTCCAAATACAAAAAACAAAAACTGGCATGCATTGTAACCTTTAACATGTGTCCCAGCATTGCCACTAGAATGATGCATAGTTAGTGATGCTCACCTCATTCTACAGGAATTTAGGGGAAAAATCAATGATTTCTTTAATATTGGAACTTCTAACAAATAGCTTAGCCAACTGTAACTAGCTTGCCACAGCTGAGCTATCCATGAATTAGTGAATCAAGAATTCAACATAGTCGAGAAAAACAGAACTACCATTGTTTCTTACTCAAAAGTGTAGACAGGTGAACAATGAAAACACAAAAACATAGTTGCTCAGAAATTTGGTAGAAGTTTTTAACTTAAAAGAATGCACTTGGTTGTAATATATGCATGTTTAGTTAGTTTAATTATCTAAACAAGATATCCTTTTTTTTTTTTTGAGAAAAACTAAACAAGAAACTCAAATGCAACGAAATGAACCCAGAGCTTAGCTCAATTAGTTCATTCAATCACCCTTAAAAGGTGACATCCAACAGGTTTAGGGTTCGAATCCCAGCACCTGCAATCCCTTCCCTTATCCCAAACTGCAGCCTCCTATGTACCAAAACAAATGAAATAAGGATAAATCCATAACATATATTTTAGGTAGCAAACCTACCATTACCTGCTAGTTCACAGCCTAATGAAAAAAAGAAAAACAAGAAAGAAAAAGTTGAAACATTAGATTGAAACTTCTAGTAACCATATTTCCATCAATTTTACAAGTTTAGGCCTGGCCCACAATGTCTTAGCCTGCTGGCAAAAGATGGCATCTAGGTGAGGCTGCTATCCATGTATTCTGAAAAGATGGCCATAAAGCAGTTATGTCTATAAACCTTAAAGAATATATCACTCCATAGGATGTAAGTTGCAATCATATCACCTGCTGTCATATATGCAAACTGTCATCCCTGATTAATCTATGAGCCACTCATTAAATTAGCCCCTCTATGGGACAAATTATTCATCATCGTCCAGTGTGTTTTCTTATATCAAACATAAATATAGGCATGTTCAAGTGAATGAATGCGTACCAAACAGCCAAATTTTATATTGCAGTACAAAAAAAATGAGTTTACCATTGCTTTCATGAAGCTTCTCACAGCAAAGCAAATGCATTGATAGATATGGTGATCCACAAAAATAAGAAATGAAATAATTAGATACATAAAATACTAACCTGAGATTCCTTTGTAGCACCAGTAATAACTGATGATACATTTGGATTTGCAGCACACCATGCAATTGCAAGCTGAGCTAAAGGTACACCAAGTTCATCTGCAATTGGCTTCAGTCCATTAACTTTCTTCAGCACATCATCAACTAGTGATCGGTTAGCAAGATTCTACACAAGAAGACAACATAATTTAGTGGCTTACTCATGACAGAAGTGGAAGGTTGTTAAAATTAGCCGCACAAAGCAGGTTCAAGAATCCATAAAGAAATGAAGCTATATTATCAAATATAGAGCCTGTTTAGCCTGGTTAGAGCTTCTATAAGAAGTGCTATTGTCGAGCTGTTCTAAAAGTGCTCTAAAGTTAAAATAGCAAACTTAATACATAAGTGCCGTAGAATGTTGAAAAAACTATTTGACAGTATTTTTATATATTTTTAATAACTAAAAAATAAAATAATCAACTTTATTAAATTATATTACATGTTTTTAGGTGAAAAAAGAAAAAGATATTTTTGTTAATTATAATAAAAAACAAATGAATTCAATAAAAATAGATAAAATAAAATAAATAATATGAAATAATATAATTCTCCTTATAATTTTGTAAATTATTGAAAAATAAAGTGAATGTAAGCACTGTTCATCAAATATTTGTTATTAAAATTAGTATTTCTTGCTGAAGCTTTAATTGATAGCTTCATCTAAAAGCTTAAATTTGCTTCCCCATGGGCTAAAAATTCTTAAAATTTTGAGAGTCAAACACTTAGCTTCTTCTTTTGCAATAGATAAGCTCTTTCATAAGCTAGGCCAAACACACATAACCCAATAATACTTGTGCCCATGTTAAGTTGTTGGAGTTTCACAATCATCTCTAAAGATGCTAACTGAAAAGTTAAACAGTGCAAAATATGAAAAGCTAAGTTTGCTTGGATTTTATATCCATGGCACATGCACCTATCACTATACACCGGAGTTTTGATCTTTATGCTCTTTTGTTGGATAAGAGACCTAGAGTTTTGATCACATGTACATATGTAAGAGATGATATTAATTACAAGCATGGATCCATAAACAAGATGTAAGATTCATGAGAAGCAAAAAAAATCAATCGGAATAATGCATCCATCATGAGAAAAAATCAGTTGTCACAAAATTTCTATTATAATTCTGCAGATAAGGAGCAAGGAACCAAAATAACTATGAATTGTTATCTTCAACAGTTAACATCGAAACAAGATCAATAAACAGGGCAAGATCAACAGTCAGAAATCAACTTTAAAGTGATTCTTACTTTGAAATTTTCTAATGCAAACCGACTGTCAGCTGGTATCATTCCTTTGCTGTATTTTCCAGCAAGAACTCCAGATGCAAGTGGACTCCATGTGGTAAGACCTAGGCCATAGTTGGTGTACAGAGGAAGGTACTCAGATTCAACCTGCATCCATACCGAAAACGATGAAACAAACCAGAGAGTGCTGAAGGAGGCAGGAATAAAACCATTCCCAGTAAACCCAATGGCCGTAAAAGCTTTAAACATAATACAAGGGCAAGTCAAAGAACTAAGTTATCAGGTCATTTGTTTTAGTTAGTCTTGCACGTTCGGGATGCATGACCATAAGTCTCCTCCACCATTTGGTTACTCATGCAAAAGCCATTCAGATATTAAAAACCATTTCTAGACTAAAGACTGATGAATTGGGTCAAGCATTGTCATTAATCATTGTATTTTTCAAGAACAAAGTTGCTTGCACTTATTTTTTCCAACAATTATCTTCTTTTTTCAAGTTTTTTATGACACAAACACAAGAATAATGAGAATTCTTTTAAATATACATGCATAATTGCCAAAACAAAACTCATATAAAATTAAACTGCAGAAATATGCCTCTTGGTGTTATTACTAACGCTTACCTTGTGCCTGGTCAATAAGTTATACTCAGGCTGCTCCACGATTGGGCCTACCAAGTCCAACCTCTCTGCTACTCCCCATGCTTCAGTAATCTGTTGTGCAGACCACTCACTTGTCCCCCAATAAAATGCCCAACCCTTATCAATCACATAATTCATTGCCCTGACTGTCTCCTCAATAGGAGTCTGCGAGTCTGGCCTGTAATGGAGATCACGTCCATGAACACAATGTCAAGTTTCTCAAAACGAAAAATCCTTTTAACTTAATCTCCACCGTCAAACCACAGAAACAAGAACTCCATCCATGAAAAGACAGACCATGATGAAGGAGCCTTCCACATGATAAACTATTCTCTCCTCCACATGCAAAACATCAAATCAATCAACAGAAAACTTCAATAAGATTTAAGGAATCCTACCATGTAACTTCAAATTAAAACAATAACCCAACAACAACAGCAACAACAGCAAATCAAATACCCAAAACAAAACACACATTTGTATCAAAGAAGCAACAGAAACAAAAACCCTTATTATCAAAACCAAATAAATAAATAAATCAAATAAAAATTCGATCTTTAAATGAACCCACCTATGACAATAGATCACATCAACATAGTCCATATCAAGCCTCTTCAAAGACGCCTTGGTTCCTTCCACAATATGTTTTCTCGACAAACCCTTATCGTTAGGCCCTGGTCCACCCCAAAAGATCTTGGTCGAAACCACGATATCCGACCGTTTCCACCCCAGCTCCCTAATAGCCTGACCCATAATCTCCTCAGCTCGACCATTGGCATAAACCTCGGCATTGTCGAAAAAGTTGACCCCGTTGTCTTTACAACACTGGAGAAGTGACTTGGCTTCTTTAACATCGAGTTGGTTACCGAAACTGACCCATGCTCCATAAGATAGTTGGCTCACTTTTAAGCCTGATCTGCCGAGGTTCTTGTAATGCATTTTTTGGTTGTTGAGGAAGACGGGAAGTGAAACTGAGAGTTTCAGACTGATGGGAACGTGGGAGTACGAGAAATGGACAAATAAAAGGTTATTAAATGGTTTGTGTTCACTTGTCTGTCCTTTGTGCTTTCACCCGAATCCATTAAGGGCAAAAAAATCTAGCTCCTTATATTTGGATCGTTGCGTGTGCATATTTGGGTTTGACCCTTGACTGAGACATAGCCCAGACAAGAGAAAGCTCTGCCAAGTAAAATTGGTCATGACAAAACTCTCGACTCAGACGTAGCTGTGTTCAATGTGCAAGTATACAAGTACTAAAATCGAAGGAGAGTCATTGTATAATGGCAAATTTCACCTTAATCTCAACTGAAAACTATTAACTAATTTGTTTTTTTTTTCCTTTCACATTGCATCATTGCCTGATTCCATTTGTTATTTGATAATTAATTTATCAGACCTTCCTCTCAACTATTGTTCATTGATATGTCACTCGTTTATTAGATTAAAACCTTCGCGGCCATGGTATATTTTAGCAGTAGAACAATATCAAGCAGGTGACATGAGTTCTGCTCATACAATTTGCATGATGAATTGAAAGAGTGACTGTTGCATCAAGCAACAATGGTCTGGAAACGTAACTATTGTTGTATCATTCCTCTGGTCACCTGATCTTCAACCAGTGAACTTGGTAATTTTCTGTGTTAATCATTCTACAATTGTTAACAGACCGCAATTGTCACCATGAAGAATAATGGCATAACCCATGACCATTTAGAAGATACGGCTGCATTTTCTTTTACTTGTGCTGCTTGTTCAGTCTCATTGTTTCCCTGTCATGAGATAAACAGAAAATTGGAAAAAGGATAAGTCATAGCATCTTAATGAATAATGAAATTGTGCTATGATAACATATATAATGCATAATCATCATTGTTTTTAATGAAAATTCCATTCCTTTTGCCACAAGAAATTAAAAGAAAATAATGGAGAATTGTAGATTCTGAACTGGTGTTGAAGGGGGAAATCACTTTTAAGGTTGTAGAGGGAAAGCACAATTCAGGCCGTCGCACAATATAGATTTGATCACCGGGACTATCCTCCTTATATATATCCTGATTTCTGTGCCAAGTCCACAATGCGTATGTCGAATTCAGAACCTTCATCAAGAAACTCAAGATAACTTTCAGAGATAAAAGATAAGAAACTAGCTAGCTTGTTGAATGTCATAAAGACATGCAACTTGCTGGAAAATTACCCAAGAAACTGAAAACAAAAAATCTGTAATAAGGAGAATATAACATCAAATTATGGAATCTAGGAAAAAGAAATGATGTAATAAGGAGAATATAACACCATAGGCTTCAATATACCTCAAGTATTCCATGTCCAAAGCTGCTTTCTCTAAATGCACTCCACTCTGGTTGCCTGTCCCAACAAAACCTGCCTTTAGCAGGACCAGAAGAGAAATTCAAGTGGCACACACCTCCAAACTCTGGTTTATTGTCTCCTTGTGAAGGGCACTTTCCAGGGACATCTGCATGATCAACATCAACTTTCTCAATGTTCCCACCATCTCCAACTGTTATGTAGACAGGTCCACATGAATCTAATGTATAATTATACACTCTGTTCATCCTTTCATAAGCATGAACCTAAGATGGAAAATAAAACATCACATCCATTAAATTTGGGAAAAATTTTGTTGTTGATAGACAACTGACGACAAATGAAAATTTTACTTTCATAGCATTTGAGCAATCTAGAATTTGTTTAATCCAACTTACATGGCCAGAAAAAACAATATCGATGCCATATTGATATAAAAGTTCTTCCATTTCTTGCCTCATGCATTCAAATTCCTGATAGTGAGAGGAATAACTATTATACCATGGTGGATGCCATGCTGCTACTAGCCATGGGGTTACCGTACGATCTACTTTTCCTAGGTCTTCCTTTAGCCAAGCATACTGAGCTCCTAGAATTGAGATGAAGAAATTGTTCCATGTTATATCAAAGTCTGCTATTAAAAGAACAGAGTTTGAAGCCAAATATGAATGAAAGCATATTGTTCTCACCTGTACTATTATAGTCAACGTATGCCCCAAGCATAACGAAATGTACCCCTCCAGCATCAAAAGAATAATAAAAGTTACTGTTAGAGCCAGACTCCTCAGCTGGAACTGCAAACCTTGTCAAATATGATTTGAAAGTGATCTCAGCTACTTGAGGTTCAATTTCGTGGTTGCCTTCAATGACCATCATAGGAACTTTTGAGATCAGTGGCTCCATGAACCTGAATTTGAAACAAGCTTTTTTTAATAGGAAGCAGCATTAACTAGAATGACTTCTGAAGCATTTATGCATAGACAGCACACATGCTTTAATAGGTTGTACGCAATAATGTCCATATTTTACTTTCAAGTGACCTAGAATTCAAGCCAGATGTATAATGCATTCAAACCCTTTTGTGGCATTAAAGCACCAAATCTGGTTTAATGGTTAAAAACTTTAACAACAGTAATGGAGAAAGAAAAATGCAGTAAAGGAACGTTTACTAGTAGATTAATGTGTTTGTACAAAACAGAAATCCTTACAGAAAGAGAAGTACCACATGCAATCCTCGATTCATTCTAACACATAGGTAAAGTAGAACATCTATAGTCTGCTTAGGCCAAGATTCTAGCAGTTACAGTGTCTTGACTATACTAAATTGTTGGTTCCAAGTAACAGACATGAAACAGAAAAGTGATCACTGCAAGAATCCCCAAGGAAAGGATAAATGTTATTGCCTTAATCAAAGGTATTCACCCTTCCTTTCTTTGATCTTGCTGCAAAATGTTTTCCACATTTGTATTTGGATAATAGGCTACACCAAGAGTCCATTTGGTAGCTGGTGGAAGCTCATTCCCACACGAGTCCAGTGCCAAATCAGCACTCCAGCATGGGCGCTACCAAACAGACTTCAATTACTGGTAAGATACAGTAATATAGATTAAATCTTAAGAATTTCTGAAGTATAAGGAGGCACATGACTGTCAAGGGCACAAAGCAAGTTAAAGACAGATTACGTACCTTCCCCATCCATCCCAGCGAGGTTGATAAGATTCTCTAATTGGTGCATCTGGGAATGCACATGAAAAGCATGGAACTCCTTTCCCACCAGTAGTAAGGTACTGATTTGCATAGGTCAAGTCTCCAACCATTAAGATCAATGAGGGATCATTCTTGGTCAGATGATCAATTGTTGTTGATGAATTTCTGGTTAGACCTAAATCTCCTATAACTGCTATTCTACGAGGATAGGAACTATGGCCGGGCAATGGTAAGGTTTCAAACACATGCTCTTCACTCATAGCTGAAAGAGAGCTATCTCCACACTTATAGTAATACTTTATCCCTGGTTCCAGACCTGCAGATCAAAATGTCTGATTTTACTTATTGCTTTGCCAGCATTTAGTACATCCAAAGGGCTGACATAAATTGATAACAATTTTCACTCGAAAAATGCATATTGTTATACCAGATTCCATTAATCACATTAACCACAACAATAACAGTAAAGAAACCATATCAGATCAATGGGATAGTCATGTTATACCATCAATTCTGACATGGTGAATGATGCCAGAGGTATAATTCAAAAGCCCTACAAATGGGTACAATTGGCTATAAACAGTTGCATTTCCTTTCCTTTTGTTAGTATACTTTCCACTTTCTTTCCCATACCAAACCTCACTGGCGACTGATGCCGGCTCAAGGGCAGTCACATTGGAACCAATCTGTGCATCCCCTGAACCATAACAAACCAACCAAACACATTAACAACAAAAACAAGACCACAAAGACAACAATACCAGGAACTGGAAAGAAAAGTACCAGTAACCCAAGAAACCCACATTGAAGTTGGTGTGGATACAGCAAGAGCTATTTGTTCTGGAAATATAGAGGTGACATTCTTCTTGAGTCTTGGATCATTCATCGGTATGTCATCACTGCCTTGACGTAAAGACGGATCGAAACGGATAGTTACAGGATCAAAGGGACCATCTAAAGTTGTTGGTATGTGTTTTCCAGAACCAACCAGCTTTGTTATGATCAAGAAAAAGGTTAGAACCATGCCTACCGTGTAGTCCTCCATTCATGAATTCCTCTATTTTTGGTTGCTGATGTTAGTGAATGTACCAAGCAAACAAGATGTGGAGATCATAGCAGAAATTGGAAGCAACCAAGCAAAGAGTTTTGGTACTCAACAGTTTGTTAAGTTCTTGGTATATGTGCCATGGATAATGGAATATGCCATTTCCTTGGCGTTTTTCTTTCCTAAGTGAGCGATTAAAACTAGTAATCTGCTTTTATTTTATTAGCGGGTTGGTTCGGGTCATTTGGACCAGAATCATTTCGGATCAAAGATAATTTATATCATTATTTGAATTAGTTTTACCTAACAAGTCGATTATTTTATCATAACAAAGGAAAATTGTTAATTGGTCGACTAAGTTAAGTTGCTAATCATTAAAAAATATTTACTTAATGTATTTTTTATTTTATAAAAGTAATGCATTAAATAAAAAATATTTTCTAAAATAATATTATTAAATATACTTTTGAAGGACATTTTTTAAATTTTAGAGTGTGTTTGATAAATCATTAAAATTTTTAATTCATTAAATTTTTAATAGTTTTATTTTCAATAAGTTTGGTAAATCATTTTTAAAAATAATTTAATGGATAATTATCAAATAAAAGAGTGTTGAAAATACTAAGTAGCTTTGATTTACATAATATATTAAGTTAATTTTATTTTAAAATATATATTTAATTATATTAATTTTATATATTTTTAACTATTTATTTTTTATTTTTACTAATTAAAAATAATTATAAAATCATATCTCTATTTAAAAAAAAAAAGGTTAACAAAAAAATCTACTAAATATTTAATTCTCAACAATGTACCTAAAAACATTTATATCATAAATTTAATACTTAAATTTTTATTGCTAAATTTGGTTAGTTTCTCAAACTATAAATATTCTCTCTCTTTTTTTATTGCACAAAACTATAAGTATTCTTTAATCAAGGTTTCTTAAATATTAGTCCTTGCTATTGAAAATGATTTCATGGACTTAACAATAGCCATTAATTTTTAATTCATAATAATTAAAAATTATCAAAAATACTTCAATTAGGCAAATTTAATTTTTTTTTCTTGATAAAAGTTTAATCAAAGTTAAATTAAATTCATAGGTAATTTCGTAAACTCCAAAACTATAAACCATGCTTTTTTTTTCAAAGACACTGAAAAACAGCATACATATATTAAAAAAAAATCACATTTACTACTTCTTTGGATATTAAATTGGTTATGTTTGGCATGTGTTCATCAAGGATTTGATAAAATGTCCTTTAAATATTTTATTATCAAAATAAAAAATTATTTTATTTTCTGTGTGTGAAGTTTTTAAATATTATAAGTGGAGTTAAAATAAATAAATATTTTTAAAACATATTTAAAAAATAAAAAATAATTAAAAATATAAATAAAACATGTGTTAATATTTTAATTTCGTTTATAAAATTAAAAATATATACTAACAAAACTCAATAAAAATATGTTAAACCCCTTTTTTCAATCACTCGAACGGCTTGTTTCCTGAAGAGCATGGACGCTCGGTGAGTACGAAGTTTTTCAGTTTCCAGCGTATTGAAAGCAAAAAGAAAAAGCGTGTTTCATTGTTCTAGGGTTTTTGAAGTTATATACGGTAAATTTAAGTTAATATGATTAAATTTTTAGTGAGAAAAAGCCAAATTGGTTTAATTAAAATATTTTAAATAATTTTTATTTATTTATTATGAATTAAAATTCGTGGTTGTGATTAAAGCAATCAAGTCCGTAAAATTAAAACTTAAATAACACTTCATTCATAATCAAATCAATTACAAATAAAATTAAAAATTATTTTTAATATATTTTAAAAATATATATGTCACTTTTTAATCATGATTGATTAAATTTAAAATTTCACTTACACTAAAAAAAATTTTTTTTTGTACGAGATAAAAATGTTTGTGAATTGTGTCCGATTATTCGACTGAATTAATATTTTCAATGTCTTTGTTAAGATTCGATCTGTTAATAAATTTTTGAATAAATTTGATGATATATATATTCGTATTATATAAAATATTAAAATTTATATTTTTATATTATATTTTTACGTAAAAATTATGTGTTATAATTTTTATTATATAAAAATATAAAACATATTTTTTAATTTTTTTAAATTTATAAATAATTATTATTAAAATTTTAAATTATATTTTTTATATATTTTAATTTAATATCATATTTTTATTATATTATCGTAACATATTTTAAATTATTAAATCTATCACAAGTAAGCATGCCCTATAGTTGCAAAGTCTGCCTCAAAAAGGTTGAAAACAGAGTATTGGGAGGTTGGAGTGATCGATAATTGTAGCTGCAGAATTGCCTTGAAAACAAAGCTATATGTTGTCTGTTAAAATGCCAAAAATGAAGAAAGATGGTGTTATTGCCAAGCCATGGCCGGCATATGCCTACTTTATTGGAGCTGGGCCAGCACGGTAACTTCTTGATTTTGGATTTACTGCCTGACTTTTTGGTTGGATCTAGAGTCATTGCCAACCAGCTGACCAACACTTTTACCTTTGTTATTTGCTCCCTTCCCGGATATATAGATGCATGAAAATGCCTTTTTACTTAACTCTATATAAAATAAATAATATGTAACAAGGAGAGATCCAATTATATTTATATAAAACTATATTTTTTATAATTTATTATGTAAAACTAACAATTTGCTTGAACTCCTTGTACTCATAAAGTTTCAAGTGAATTTAATATCTGTATTAAATCAATTAAGAATACTGTATTTTTTAATATAAATTTAACTATTAAAATTTTATCATGTCAAATAAATAATAAATTAATGTAAATTATAACATTTGATATCAAAATTTATTCTACATATTGAAATGTGTCACTAAAATTTGTGAACCTCGTTAAATCGAAAGGGGATGTTACGGTTTCATAAAATAATTTTGGATTTTACATTAATTATGTATTAGAGTTATTACGTATGTAATCATTATATTATCTTTAATTTATGAGATATCTTTTTTAAAATAATTGTAAGATCTAAACGAACAATACATTTTAAGTTGATATATAAGAATGATACAAAATTTCAATATACATCTTACCATATCATAAAAAAAAATGGCATACATAACCTGCTGTGAATAGAGTATGCAATCTTATGATTGGATCAACAAAATAAAAATCATAAGAAAAATATGAAACATCTACTAATTTAATTATACACATATATAAGTGTATCCTTTTTCAACCATATATATAAATTTATGACTTCCTTTTCTTACTATTGTCCTAAGGACTCTTTTGGGTTGGGAACGAGCATGGGCCAAAATGCAATCATCAGATGCAACAAAGCTTGTTTAAAAGTAAAGAGAAGGTTTTCAGTTAGTTGGGCCAGCTTAGGCTTCACTGGGCTTTCATTTGAAAAGAACCAAACAGGTTTATAAATTTTGCACAACTCCAGAAGATTCGACCTAGACAAATTGTACCATAAGCCCAAACTTTTAAGAAATGGGCCTTCATTTGCCTCCCCTCCTCATTTCTACGAGTATTATTAAGCCGAGTTCGTCTTTAACAGACTAACAACGTAATTTTTTTTTTTTAATTTTATAAGCAAGATTAAAAAGTTATCACTTGTTTTGTTTTTTTAATTACTTTTTACTTTTTACCATACCTTATTAATTTTGACAGTTGAATTTAAAAATTGAATTGGTAATGTAGGTTCTCTTATTGACATCAAACCTTCAAAAACTATTTGGTAACATTATTATACAGTTTGACGCAATGATAATACATAATTTTTTTTATAAAAATAATAAAAATATTAAACGTGGATATTAAGTAGTTATCGAGTATTAAAAAAAATATGGTGAAAATTGATAGTGTTATATATTATTATTAATTATCTTAGTATTACTTATACATCAATTTCACTACAAGAAAACATGTGATCAGCGATGCAATTTCAATGACGGATTTTCCATTGCTAATAGTCCGTAACAATGAAGTATTGATGACGGAATGTCGATGGATTTTGTGGAATAAAATTTGAGTCCTTCTCGACGGAAGTTAGTTATGCAGTCCAAATTTCACAACGGAAACAGAATCCATTGTTATTAGTTGGTGCCAAAAACTCTGATAAATCCGCCAATTTTAGCTACGAAATCCGGCACTAAAATAATCAATATTGACAGAATTGATGACAAAAATATTTCTTTGCTACAAACTATTTATTTCAAAAATTAATATAATTTTTAAATTAAAAATATTAATGTTCTAATTTTAATAATTATATTTATTTTTTTCAACTTTTGAATTAAATGACCATTAGCAACGGAATTTTGTTGCTAATAGTTTTAATTTTAAGATCTAACAGGGAAGATGGCAGAAATGCAAAACTAAATGAAAGAAACAAGGTAATCACAAGATGAAATTAAGACAATTTTGCTTAAGCTCAGTCAAATGTTTGAAGATGAGTCGTTTCCTGCATTTGGTTCTTATCGACATGATGCCGGTTGACAGCAAGAGCTGAGTGCTCAGTGAGATAATGAACTCTTTTTTTCTTTGTTTTCTATTGAATTGGTATGATAATAATAAATGATGGATCTCTTTTTTATGGACATTTGTGGATGTTTATGAATGTTGTTAGAGGGATATGGATGTTTATGAATGTTGTTGGATGTTTATAATAGAATTGAGTTGAATGTTGAATTTTGGAATTATATAGTTGTACTAAAATTTATATGAAATCTTTTTATATGATTTGTAAATGAAAAATTCAATTAAAAGTGGAAAGGATCGATCTTCTTTTAAAAGGAAAGATCAACCCTCTATGGCAAGATCAATCCTCCATCAAAGGGGATTGGTCTCCAAAACATTACAAAATCTATGATATTTAAAGACGAATTTTGTACTTTTACCGATGAAGTTCCATCACTAAAACTCAAGACCATTTTTTCCAACAAACTTTCAACAATAAAGCTTCCATCACTAGTAATTATTAACGATGGAATAATAATCTTTTGCGCGGAAAATCTGTCGTTATTTGAACTTTTATCTAGTAGTGTTTAAAAAAATCAAATTAAAATTTTTTTTTAATTATGAAGGGGGTAGCCAAACAAACACATTATTTGGCACCAACTACATGCAGTAGTTCCCTGTTGAAAAAATAAAAAAGAAATCAAT